CTGCTCCTGGCAGTGAGTTTAGCCTTTCACTCAGATTAATTATTCCCTGCCCTAGTTTCATCCCCTCTCTTCTCATGGTAGGCAGTGGCTCCTCCCCTCCTGGCCTCCACATACTTCAAATATTTGCAGCTGGTTTGTTTTGTCCTGAGTCACTGCTTGACTGCTGAGCTGTGAGCCTGGGGCTGGGCTCGACTGGTGAGTGGCTGCAGCTCCACTGGAGATCCGTGCTGGTGCAAAAGGTTGTCCTCAGCGCTGACGGGCAGCACGTTCCTCTTCAGATTGCATTAGCAGCCTGGGCACCCTGCGAGGCTGCGCCGTGCCACAGGGGATGCTGGCAGGTGAGCCCCGATAAAGAGGAGTTGGGGGGCAATGCAACCCTTTGGGTAAGCCTCCCAGCCCATGCGTGACAGGCATGCATCCCGTTGGATCTGGTCTTCATGGGTCAACTCTGCTTCCAGAGTAGGGCAGGGAAAAAACCTTTAATTGCACGCGTGCTCCTGGTAGGAGGTTGGGCAATAAGAATTACAAGTTTTCATTAATTGGAATAAAGTCAGTGAAAGTGGTATTTCTGGGATGAGCAGGATGAGCCGTGTGATTGCAATATTAAATAAATGGCCTCCACAGGAAGGGCAGAGGTGGGAGTGTGCTCCATCTTGACATTTTGCTGCCAGGGGCTAGATTACAAGTCAGTGTTCAATCTCCTGTGCAGCAGCAGGTGAACTAGCAAAGCTCAAAAGCAGATGCTCCTGGGAGGCTGTCACAGATCATCAAACCAATCCAGACAGCCAAGGACTTATCACAAATATACCAAAAGGGATAAAGAAAACAATGTTGTTAGAGATTTTAATTTAGAGAGGCAGATTGCAGAGCTCATGCAACCTATGAGAGAACAAAATTTGAATCTCTAAAAATTGTGATTGAGAGCATTGGTTTTGGAAATGCATTTCTCAATGGCATCCTTGTCATGGGTAAACACGAATTTGTCACTGGATTGGAATCTGGTGGCTTCACTAGAAATACCAGTCGCATTCCTGCAGGCTAATGGAGCCCCTTCCAGCTGTGGTGTACATTTTAGTACCTCCGAAGTTGATGGGCACGATGACTCGGGTTGAAAGGTAGCATTTAAATAGAAAATCTGTGAACTAAAATGGAGATCTGTTTAAAAAGCATATACTAGATGACCAAAACCCAGAGCTGTGAAATGGGTGGGTTTAGTTAAATGCTTAATAAGCCTTATTTGGGGAAAGCTGCTATTAGACATACAAGAATGTGTGACAAACAGGAAATAATAAATTGATGGCAATCAACAGAGATGGTATGAAATACAAAAAAGTGAGTTTTTAAATGCGTCAGAAATAAATGCTAGGTATTACACATATGGTCAGGTAGAGGAGCCAAATATTAAAAACAAATTCTGTATTTGAATTTTTTGAACTGCGAGTGTTTGGAAAGAGGCAGGATGACTTTTGAGTTCATTGCTGAAGGAGGATGCCAGACTAGTGATAAACAACAAGAGTCCTAAGAGACTTGGCTGCAGCATAGCCTTGTTTTTAAACAAATCGTTAAATACTCTGAAAGAGCAAGAAGGCCAGAGGAGAATTAATCTGTATAAGTTTTCAAAATAATGCAAACACTGATACAGTGTAAGTAGGTAGAACTGGTGGCCAGTATCGTAACAGGTCAAGCAAGCTGAGCTGATAACTACTAAGGGCTTAAAACCTGTGCAGGGAAGGTTTTAATTTCCCTTCCACAGGCAGCAATTTGAGACTTGCAGAGGAAGGGTGATGTGGAGCTGGCAGTCTCACAAGTGTCAGTCAAAGCCTCGCTGCAGGGTGCTCTCTGAAAGGGTCTGACCTAGATTTACTTGCCTGGGGTTTTCTTGGTAGAGCGTGGGGAGTTGCTGTGTTTGCCAGTGGTGCTGGGCATCCCCAGCTCTGTTTTGGTGAGCTGGAGGCAGGCACATCATGTGGCTGCAATTTAGCTGTCTAAAGCTGGGAGCACAGCCGGGTTGTTTGGTGGTACAGTAAACTCCCAAGATGTCCTGTACAAAGCTTCATCTGGTGGCATTTTGCCTGAGGATAAATGCAAAATCCTATTCTTTGACCAAGGCAAATGTAATCTTTTCCATTTGTCTTCCCAGATGCTGCTGCATGGATCATTTCTGTCTGTTCTGGCTAGGTTTCATTTTCAAGATTCTTCCCAGGCCACCCCATGCTGTGGTATCAGCTCACCCGCCCACCTTGCCTGGGTTTCACACACCTGTTTGCATTTCAGATTAACACCTCTTTGCTTCTTCCATGTTGCCCTCCCATTTCAGCTTGCTCCGCTGCAAAACAAATGCCAATCCTAAAAAAAAAAAAAAATCCCTCTTTAAATAACCCATTTGTTGTTACTTTCTTAACTCTTTGAGCTAGAGACCTGATGGCAGTATTATCTTGGTGTTTCTTTGTTCCTTCTGTTCATTATTCTGTTTTGTGTCCTGTTCAGGCTCCAAGTGCTGTGCCTCGGGCAGGGTATCTCTGTTGTGTTTGTAAAGGACATTGCATGACAGGGCCTGGTCTGCTACTGAGGCTTTGCAGATGCTGTGGAAAAGCAAAGAGCAAATGTTAAAGCCACCAGCTGCTCCCAGTCCCTCCTTGCAGGCTCCTACTGCTTTTGAGTTGATAAAGTTCATCACTGGGGGCGTCTCTGGTGGGGAGCCAAGACAGTCATTGACATAGCCAAAACCAGACTTTTCCCTTATGCAGGGTGGTGCTGGTGGGGTATTTTTAAGGATGCTTGCCAGTAGGAATCAGTGAATCTTCTCTTCCCAATACACCATAATTGCTCACTAAATATAGTGCTGATTATGCCACTAAATCCTGCTCTGTGGAGCTGGCCCTTTCAGCTCTCCCCAGGCTCGATTTTGAAGCAGGGCAGCAGAGATGCCTGCTTAGAGACAGGTGTCTTCTCTCCCTTGTTGAGGACATATTCTGAGCAGTGTTTCAGCTGGGTTTCCCATTTGCTGCTAGAGTGTGTGGAACTGATATGGAACTGTGCGCAAGAGGCACACCAGTTCTTCCTCAGCCCAAGTAGCAGTAGGAGGTTGCTGTTTGATGCTGATGCTCCTTGTTTCTGTTTGTCACTGCTGCTCTGCAATGGGAAGGGCTGGAGACTGGCACAGTTTTAGCCAGTTACAGGCCAAGTTGGTGTTTCTTCTCTTTCCTGGGCTGTTTCAGTGCAAATACCGGAGCCTGGCAGAGCAGAGGGCAGGATGCTTAGGCTGAGCCAGCAATTTCCATCCCACGTTTCACACTGCCATTGATTACTGCCATCACCCAGCAGGGCAAAGCTGGGGGCTGCGGGCAGGCGGGCAGGGCACGCTCAGCACCTGGGCAGAAGTGGCTGGGAACACGGGGGTCTCCTGGGGCTGTGCACAGTGGGTGCCGGGGTACCAAGATAAGTCCTAAGCCGTGCTGGGTGTCCCGGGGAGTCCAGATGAGCCTGCTCTTACAGAGCTGAAGCCAGCGGCAAGGTTGTCTCCCCCAGGCTCAGCCACTGTTGCCTGCAGTTGTAACTGGAGATATCAGAGAGATGGAAGTGCCTGCCCTGCAAAAATATTTTTACAAATGTCTGAACTGGGGCATGTCCACAACTAATAAAATCCCACTGAGAGTGAGCAGCTGGGGATCTGTGGGAGATGACTGGAGCCAGCAGGCATTTGTCAAATCAGCAACTGGCCTTAAAACAGATACCTGAGGCAGGCTGGGGTGCTGCAAGGGGCTTGGGGGTCCTGTGGGCCTCTGGTCTGCAAAACAGCCATAAAGTGGGGGAGACCTGAGTGTTTCTGAGCCAGACCCTGCCTGAGGGGTGTCCCAGGGAGGTGCTGGAGAGCAGCTTTCCTGAATTTGGGTCGGGCTGAGGTGTGTACTGTTGCTGTGGTTTTGGCCAGAGGGCACATGCTTTTAAAAGCAGCCAGGTAGGGTAGAAAGTGGCTAGGGCCCAGGAATCTGCTGTGGGATAAAATGTCTCAATGAAAACTGGAGGGGGTTGGGCTGGCCTGGGAGCTGCAGGTGGGACAGAAAACCAGGAGGAAAACCAGCTGCCAGGGGCCTGGGACGGGGAAGAGGAGGGTGGCCAGCTGCCTGCACACCCCCAGGCCCTGCAGGCAGGGCAGCCATGCTGTGCACCCCGGCACCCTGCCAGGGTAGGGCCGGGAGGCTGCTGCGGGGGGACAGTAGCCTGGGCACAAAGCAGGTTCCCGGTTTGTGCTGGGAGGGTTTGGGGGTCTCCCCAGCCCAGGGCTGCCTGCCACGGCAGCATGGCTGCCCATGGGGGTGCATCCAGCCACCCCGGGCCCCCTCCTTGCCAGGCCTCTGGGTGCCCACTCCAGCCTCCTGGCAAAGGCCACTGCCACCCCAGCCTTGCTGGCCCTGCGCGGCGCGGCTTGCTGTAGTCCAGCTCCAGGCTTTGCCGCCGGCAGCCCCATTGTAGGTGCCTGAGGCCTTTTTCAGCCATTCAGATGGAAATGCCCTGGGGCTGGAGAAGGAAGACCCTGTTCCCAGCCTGATGGGAGGGGGCATCGGCCATTGCCTGGCTGGGAAGAGAGTGAGGAGGGGAGCGGGGCTGCTCTCTGCATCTGCTCAGCCCCACGGAGTTTCCTGGAGCGGCAGAGTTGGAGAACAGGGGTAGGAGAGGGTTCTGGACCTGACCAGCATCCGAGGGGACGGTCTGGAGCAGGTTTGTGCTGCTTGGTGCCTGCTGCCCCGACAGCAGGGGCATTGCAGTGTTACTGGTGCTGCAAGGGCAGGCTGTGGGAGCAGACCAGGGCTCCCTGCAGCTCCAGGCCTGGGAGTGCTGGGGATGGCCTCTCTGAAAATGTCGTTGGATGGACAGTCTGGCTCTCTAACAGTTGTGTTTGGCAGTCTCATAGGTTGCGTGTGACACTGTTCAGGTGATATTTTTTCTCCTGTCCTTGCATCCTTGCTGGAGGATGCTGATCTTGTTTGTCTGTTTTGCAGAGATGACTCTCCTGTCCTCCCAGACACCATCCCTGGAGACATCCTCGGCTGCCACTGAGAGTCCAGAGCAAAGGATGCTGGAGAAGAGGTCCAAGGTTGTTGAGGAACTGCTCCAGACAGAGCGGGACTATATCAGAGACCTGGAGATGTGCGTGGAGAGGATCATGTTGCCCCTGCAGCAGGCACAGGTAGGCATAGGGAGGCAAGCTGTGATGCAGCACTGGTGGGATGGGATGAGGATACTGAGTCCACTTTGTTCTCAGAGGCAGCCAGTCAGCAGCGTGGGAACCCATAGAGGAAATTGAGCTATGCTGAGGGGAGCAGGTTGGTTCACACTGCTCCTTGCACTCATAGGAATAGCCCATCTGTTTTGGGATACTGCTGAGCTCTCACCGTTTCTGAGAGGAAGAGATCTGGCAGCAAGTATCATAGATTCATTTCCTGGGGCAGGAAATGTTCCTCTTCATTTGGTTTGTAGGTTAAATTCATTGTCAGGAGAAAGAAAATGTAGGATCTTGGCATGGGGACAGAGTTGGTGGGAAGAGAGGGAGAATGACGGGTGAACAGTGTCAGTGATTAAATTGGTGGGAAAGAGGAGGACACTGGTAGGACACATAAGGAGTGAGAGTTTCAGTGCACTGGGGGATGAGGGAGTGAGTACGGAAGTCACTGTGATGGGAGGAGGTCACACCAGGTGGCTGCTGTGAAGCTGAGGACTGATGGGTTGCAGGAGGGCAAGGAGGGGCTCTTGGGTCTGACTGGGACATGTTCCCCATCCAGAACATCTCTCTTCCCATTTCCCAGATGCAGAACATAGACTTTGAGGGTCTTTTTGGAAACATCCACACGGTAATTAGCTTCTCCAAGCATCTGCTGTCCACCTTGGAGGCTTCGGATGCCATTGGTATGAACTCTGCTGATAACTTATCTCTAGGATGGGCTTTGCTAGTGGTGGGCCAAAACAGTTTAAATGGTGGGAGAGGATCACTGGGGCTGGGCTTCCTCCCCGGTGGTCCCTGTCACCACTCATCAGTTCAGCAACAAAGCCAAGGAGATCTGTGTTGCCCCATGGGTCGCTATACTGAAAAGCACGGTGCCTGTGGCCCTCTGTGGCCCTTTGCCCTGAAGCGGAGCCCCACTCCTCACTCATGTGCTGCCAGCTTTTGCCACTCAGGCCTTGGGCAGCCTGTGCCTTTGCTCTCTGTGTGGCTCCAGTGACCAGTGTCCCTGCTTCTCACCCCTGGGAGACCTAGATCGATTGAGCTCTCTGTGATAGTGGGTGATGAGCAGGCACCCTGGGTGCTCTAGTACCACTGTCTTCTTGAGCTCTGTGTGTGGAACAGGCACACTGGGCGTCTCACCATGAGACACACCAGCATTGTTGGAGGCAGCTGAAGACCAGGAGACATTGAAGTCCTGCTTTGCTGCTGTCTACAGGGCCAGTGTTCTTGGCACAGCGTGCAGAGCTGGAGAGCGTCTACAGGGTGTATTGCCAGAACCATGATGAGGCCATCGCACTGCTGGAAACCTATGAGAAGGATGAGAAGATGCAGAAACTACTTCTGGACCTGCTGGATAGCCTCAGGTTGGAGCCTCTGGCTGTGGTGGCCACGAGGCTGGGGCAGGGGGTTCAGTCTCCAACATCCCTGCCCCTCTGCCAGCAGTGCTTGGACAGTTCAGGTGGTAACTGGAGGGGGGATGGCTGTGTCACTGCATAGTTGACCAGGCTCTGGATTCAAATGGCCCCCTGCCCCAATACAGAGGTGCTGGAACACCTGTAGGCCCCCCTAAACTGAGCAGAAGCCACCAGGGTACAGGGAAGGTGGTATGTCCTGGACTGAGAACTCCTATTCCTCAAGCCCTGCTCTGCCATGGCTGGTGAGGAAAGGAGACGCTTTGCCTGGCTCAGCGACTGCCAGGGCTCCAGCTTGTGGATGTTAATGCCCTGGAAGCCAGCAGCACTGGCTGCTGCTCTGGGGGGACAGGGCTGCCCACTGCCTTGGCAGCATCACTGCGGGACAGGGCAAAGGCACTGGCTGCGGGATTGCACACCTGCTGCCCCATTAACCCGTTGCTTTTCTTTGCTTTTCGGCACTCTGTGGGCCGGCAGGAGCCTGTACAGTGAGTGGTAAGTGTATCCTTCCTGTTAGTCCCTGCTTGTCCATCTGGCCTGGCCTGGCTGCTCCCTTGTAACTAACCTCCTGCCACCAGCTGGGTGCATGTTGTGGGGCCCTAACGGTGCCTTCCTCATGGAGCCACATCTGGGAGGAGCTGGGTGTCTGTGGCGCGATCACAACAGAGGCAATGGATGGGCTACACAGGCAGGAAGCACAGGCAGGTGATGAGGTGAGGGGAGGTCTTGGGCAGAAAACAGGTTTTCAGAGCTGTCAACTCCAAGGAGCCAAGAGGGCCCTGCACTGGTTGCAATGTGAGCGCAGTCAGTCTGTCCTGCAGTGGGGCCAAATCTGGGCAGTTGGGTGGTGGGACAGAGTCTGAGACAAGTGGCACTCTGGTTAGTTTGAGGATGTGCCTTGTGGGATTTTGCAGTGGGTCTGGTGATGGTGAGGATCCCGGCTGGAAAGGGTCACCTGGTGTGAGTGAGGTCTGGAATCCTACGGTTGCTTTAAAATCACTGGAGGCTCAGGAGTGCAGTGAGTTTGGAGATAAAGGGTGGCATGCCTAAGGGAATACAGTGGATTTAGAAGCATTGGTGTTAGGGGGCATAATTTGCATGGCAGAGCTGGACTGAAACTTGGTGCATTTCCTTTGTCCCAACTTCCCAGGGGCTGCACAAACTACATTAACCTGGGCTCCTTCCTCATCAAGCCAGTGCAAAGGGTGATGCGGTACCCACTGCTGCTGATGGAGCTGCTGAGTGCCACGCCTGAGACTCACCCTGACAAGGCACCGCTCACAGCTGCTGTCCTCGCAGTCAAAGAAATCAATGTCAACATCAATGAATACAAGCGCCGGAAGGACTTGGGTGAGTAGCTGGGTAGAGCTGGGGGAGAGTGCCAATCGCTCCCTCCAGGCGATTCTCACTGACCCCCAAGGATGGAGATTTCACAGCCTCTCTGCTGTCCTGTGCCAGGGCTGCACCACCTTCACAGTGAAGCTGTGCTCCCTGATCCACCCCAAAGCCCCCAAGCTGCCATCTGTGGCCACTGCCCTTCCTTGTATTGCCTGGCACTCCTCCGAGGAGTTTGGCCCCATCACTTTTGTAGCTGCCCTTCAAGTAGCTACTGGCTGTGAGCAGATTCCCCCTCCGCCTTCTCCCAGCCAGGCTGAGCCCGCCCAGCTCCCCCAGCTCTCCTTGTGGGGCCTGAGCCTTCCCTGTAGGTCAGGAGCTCTGGTTCTCCCACATCTCTCTTGACCCGGGGGCCCTAAAACTAGACATGGTATCCAAGTGCAGCCTCCCTGGGACTGAACAGACGGAGAAAGTTCTTCGCTTTGTCCTATCAGCCACCCTCCCTGTTTTCCCTTAGAGTCCCCTGACTCATGCAAGTCTTACACTTTACTCTTTCCACATAGCGTCACTGAAACTGAGATGACATAGGCTGCCTGTAATGATTGCTCATATTTGCTAAAGAAACAATATAAATACCTTCTGTACGTCCAGTGATTATTGTACACCATCTCCTATGTCATCTTATGTTAACACTATGTATAATCCTATGGAAAAGTTTGAATGGTGGGTCTACAAACTGTAGGGCATATCAAGAGCCAAATAGGGGATTATAGGTGGCACAGTGCTGGATTGCAAGATGATGTATGGTGTAGTATGGTATATGATATACGTGGGGTACTTGGGACTGCAGAGGTTTAGGGAAGGGGAAAGCCAGTAAAGCAATTGTTGATGAGGCACTGTAAGACATGGGTGTTGTGCTGACAAGGGTTCTGATTTCTTCATCAATCTCTTTAGTGCTAAAGTACCGGAAAGGGGATGAGGATAGCCTCATGGAGAAGATCTCCAAGCTCAACTTCCATTCTATCATCAAGAAATCGAACCGTGTGAGCAGCCACCTCAAGCATCTCACAGGCTTTGCACCCCAGGTAATGTGCATCAGCTGCCAGGTGGACTTCCACCCTGTGGTGCTTCTGTGGTGCTATCTGCTGTCCCACCACACCCCTTCGCTGATGAGTAGCTCTGATCCAGGCCTGCAAGGCAGAGTAAGCTTAAGGTCTGAACCACCCATCTCTGCCGTCAGGCTTGTGGGCAGAAGGCCCCGCATCTTGCACTCTGGGAGCTGCCAGAGTCCTGCATTGCCTTTCATGAAACATTTCTCTCACAGCTGAAGGATGAAGCCTTTGAAGAGACAGAGAAAAATTTCCGGATGCAGGAGCGGCTGATCAAGTCCTTCATCCGGGATCTTTCCCTCTACCTGCAACACGTCCGGGTGAGTCAGTCTGGGTGTGATGCCTAACAGTGAGGCTCACCATGCACTGCCCCTCCTGCCTGCATGGTGGGTACTTGCAGTGCCTCTGGGCAGTGCTCCTGCCCTCAGCCCTGCCAGGCAGGTGGTCTCTGAGGGTCTGGGCTGCCCTGGGAGGCCTCTTCTCCTGGTCAGCAAGCATGGCTGTGCTGGTGCCGACTGTGTGTCCCTGGTGCAGGAGTCGGCGTGCATGAAGGCGCTGGCAGCAGTGAGCATGTGGGACCTGTGCACGGAGAAGGGCAGTGGGGACTTGGACCAGTTCCAGAAAGTGAATCGGCTCATCAGCGACCAGCTCTTCTCCAACTTTGTGAGTGAGGCTGTGCTCTCGTGTGCTGGGGACACCCCTCTGGGGGCCTGCTGCAGGGAGGGTAACACAGCCTGGGAGAGGTGGGAGCACTCCTGTTAGGCTCCTCACTCCTGAGAGCTTTGATGCCTGTGAGTTTATGATGTGTATTGAGCATGCCATTTTTTCAGCCCAACCTGAAATGTTACAGCTCTCTATGTGAGTGGTACTTCCCATAGTGTTGCCCACACCAGCACATTTTATAAGATTGTAGAATAATTCCTGTTGGAAGGGACCTCTGAAGCTCTGGTGGGTGCCATCAAGAAGGTGGACCCTATGCTGTCCTGGGGAGGTTGTGTGCTGGAAGGTGAGCTGCTGGTGTTCACCGCATGGTGGGAGAGCACCTCATCTCACCTGCTGTCTGCATCTCTGCCCACCAGAAAGAGCGGACAGAGCGGCTGGTGAGCTCGCCCCTGAACCAGCTGCTCAGCATGTTTGCAGGGCCCCACAAGCTGGTGCAGAAACGCTTCGACAAGCTCCTCGACTTCCACAACTGCACAGAGCGAGCAGAGAAGCTGAAGGACAAGCGAACGCTGGAGGAGCTGCAGTCAGCCCGCAACAACTATGAGGCCCTCAATGCCCAGCTGCTGGACGAGCTGCCCAAGTTCCTGCGCTTCGCCAAGGAGCTGTTTGCCAGCTGTGTGCGGGGCTATGCTGAGGCACACTGTGACTTTGTGCACCTGGCCCTGGAAGAGCTGAGACCCCTGTTGTCGGTGGGTTCCTGGAGCACAGCCAGCACTCCGGGCTCAGTGCAGCACTAAACTCTGCACAGGGCTTGTCCTTGAGCCTCACTGGGACCCATCCCACTGCAGGGAAAGCTGCTGCTGCAGCTTCAGGCCCCGAGTGCCTTGGGGAGGGCTCCTGTGGGATGCTGTCAGGGTAAGGATTGTGGGGTCATGATGCAATTGTGCATAGAGATGGTGAAGTCTCTAGCGGCTCCTGGAGCAGCGGCAGGACAGCATTTTCCTGGGAGAAGCTCAGGTCATGAGTTTGGGGACCACTCAGAGCTGAGTCCAGACAGGACTGCAAATCTGGGCCTGATGCAAGTCACAAGCAGGGTTCAGAGCCCCACTTGGCCCGGGAGCTGACATGGTCTCTGCTGTAGCTCTTGGCCACTTTTCCCAGCAGCTGTCACCTAACCATGACCCCCAACCTGCTCTGGTTCCAGTTGCTGAAGGTGTCCAGCAGGGAGGGGAACCTCATTGCCATCTTCCAGGATGAGCACAGCCGAGTCCTCCAGCAGCTCCAGGCCTTCACCTTCTTCCCAGAGTCCCAGGCACCTCCTAAGAAGCCTTTTGAAAGGAAGACCGTGGAGCGGCAGTCTGCCCGGCGGCAGCCCCTTGTCGGCTTGGTGAGTTTCAGCTGCCCCATGTCAGGGCTTGCAGAGCCTGGGACAGTCACTCACACCTGCCTTGTTCCTCTGCAGGCCAGCTACCTCCTGCAGTCGGATGACATCCGAGCTGCCCTCCTGGCCCGCTATCCCCCAGACAGTCTCTTCCAGGCAGACCGCAATTTCAACGCTGCCCAAGACCTGGATGTCTCACTGCTGGAAGGAGACATCGTGGGTGTCATCAAGAAGAAGGACCCCATGGGCAGTCAGAATCGCTGGCTTATAGACAACGGGGGTAGGTGGCTGCTCCCTAACCTTGGCACCTGCTGTGAGTCCCCTCCTCTGGTCCCCCTGTGCCCCAGTCTGAGCTCCCTTCCTCTCCCTTTCTGCAGTGACCAAGGGCTTTGTGTATAGCTCCTTTCTGAAGTCCTACAACCCACGCCGCAGCCAGTCGGATGTCTCTGTGGGCAGCCACTCTTCCAATGAGTCAGAGCACAGCAGCTCCTCTCCCCAGAGCAACACCACGCTGACCTTCAGCCCCAGTGGGGCGGCCGTCACCTTCACTCAGAAACCCCTGCAGGACTCAGCCTCCCCAGCAGACCCATACCAGTCCCCGCAGCCCCTCTCAGAGATGGACTCCCCCTCTCTGCCCCATCTTAGCTCTGGTGACAGGACGGTGCCACTGGAGGCTGTTCCTGGGACATCTCAGCGCCACTACAGCCGCCCCGAGCTGGGCTGCAGCCCCAGCTCTCGCAACGGGCACCCCGCCAAAGTACATCTCAGACCTGTGCCCTCAGTGGAGGACAGAGACTCTGGGCTGGAGAGCAGCGAGTCAGAGGGCAACCAGGTGAGCCCTCAGCCTCCCTGTGGTGGGGGGACTGGGGATGCTGGGGGCTGACCCTCTCATTGAGTGGGGGCTGAATCATTTTCCTCCATGGCTGTGACCAGGGACAGGTGGGAGGTGGAGGCTGCTTTGTCCCAAAGGGCTGAGGTGGAGGATGAAACCTTTTGGCTCCACAGCAGAGGTCCAGAGGCAGAGAACTAGGCTGCAAATGGGGGTGGGCAGGTGGGGGCAGTTCTGGCAGAGGCCAGGACGAGGCTGAGACTGTCACTGAGGAGAGGAGCAAAAGCCTATGCATCCTGTGCAACATGGCAACAAGGCTGTGTGGCGTGACCATCCAACTGACGCTCTCCCTCTGTTTGGCAGGTCTATTACGCTCTCTACACCTTCAAAGGCCGAAACACCAATGAGCTGAGTGTGTCAGCTAACCAGAGACTCAGGATCCTGCAGTTTGAGGACATCACGGGGAATCGGGAGTGGTGGCTGGCCGAGGCGCACGGGAAGCAGGGCTATGTGCCCTCCAGTTACATTCGGAAGACAGAGTACACGTGAGGCAGCGGGCAGGAGCCTGCACCCTGTGCCTTGTGCCTGCTGGGACTGTCAGGGGCCTTGGGGAGGCTGGCCAGCCCTGCAGCCCCTAATGCTCACCCTGAGGCTGTGTCCGTCACAGCCGTGCAGTGCTCTTGGACCCCACCATGCTGGCTGCCACCTCTGCTTCTGGGGAGGAAGGGTGGACTGGCAGGACTGGCAGAAGCAGGCAGCTTGTGTGAGGGCAGGGGTGAGTTCACCTGTGCTGTTTGAGCCTCCTGCATCCAGCCAGGAGCAGGGGAGCAAAGCTTGGGGCAGTGACCCAGGAGGGTAAGGCTCAACCAAGGCTGAGATGCTGCTGTGGTTTTAAATTGTGGAAGGCTAATGCTGAGTTTCTGGAGTCCATCTTTAGCCAAATAGTTTTAAAAGCAACCCAGGCCCTGTGAATGTGCTCCCTGTGCCTTCTCAGCAGCAGGAGCCCAGCCTGTCTGCACAGAGCCTCAGGGTGGGACACCTACACCCTGCCTGGGGAAGCAGCTCTGAGGTTCACTGAGAATAGTTGAGCTCAAGGGCTGGGATGGGTCCAGACTCTGAAAGCCCCCACATCAGAGCCCCCAGTGGGTGCTTCATCCCCATGCTTAGTCTTCCGGGGGCTCGGGCTTCTCCAAGCTCTGCTGCTAGCAGCAACCATCAGGTTCTCGTCTTCCAGGTGAGCCAAAGGTCCAGAATGCCATCTTCCCTTGTCAGTGCAGTACCTCCAGTGCCCAAAACCCATCTTTGCACTGAGATGCCCACCTGGCTGCTCTGGGCTGGGGCAGGGCAGAAGGCAAAGCACAGGCTGTCATCAAGACTAATTTTCTGGGGGCTTTGACCAGTATTGCCTCACCTGTGCTTTCCTGCAGGGCACTGGAGACAGTGCTGGCATTCTGGGAGGGCAAGGCCCTCCCCAGGAGGGATGTGGTGCCCTTTGCCGGGGTGGTGTGTCTTACCCGCTGCTGCTGTGCCCTGAAGGAGGGATGCTCCCTTCTCTTGAGGCGATGTTTATATCCCCTGTACTGCTGCTCTGTAAATAAAGATTTGCCCTTGTGTATAGGACGTGCCTGTGCAAGTGTCAGGAGAGCTGGGAGTAGTGCCTGGCTAGTGCTGGGCTGGGGGGCAAAGCCCACAGACTTCACACAGACCCTGCAAGGCCAGGAAGAGCATTTACCTTTTGGTGGGGTCCAGCACGCTTCTGCATTGGTGCCAGCTGCAGCTCAGGCACTAGGAAACCCTCACAAGAAAGTTCTTCATTAAGATGAGATTAAGTGATTTCACTGCCCTTTTCCCCTAGCTGTGTGTTACATGACTCAGCTGGGGCTGTGGGCGGCTTGTGTCCCTCCTGCCACCCGCCAGGGTGAAGGGGTTTGCCCTGCTCTAAGTGGGTAGGCTGAGTGCACATGGGCACAGGCTCCCTGCATGCCAGCAGCCCATCAGTGCTGCAGCTCCTGGCTTTCATGCCCAAGAACAAAGAAAGGTCAAGAGTTTGTCAGCAGTAATCACCATATTTTTGTGTGTGTGCATGTCAGTGTAGCAGGCACATGTGCCTGCACCTCTCCAGCTTTTCCCTACCACAATCAAGTTTGTAGTCTGGAGTCACAGCCCAAAATCTGCCCCGCTAGCGGTTACAATAGCTCCAGGGACTGCCTCATTTATTTGCACTACAATCAAAGGGAGCTGTAGCCATAGGGAAAGCATGCAGGCCCTGGCTTCTCCACCTCTGCTGCCAGAGGGTAATGTTCATGCCTGGGTACAGCTGTGCCACTCAATTTGGACTCCCTAACACGTGTGTCTGCATAACCTGCGTTACCAGCTTCCCCCAAACACTATCCAGGTTTAAAGCTAAACCGAGGCTCATTTAGCATGCCTTACAGTCAGACTTTTAGTTGGAAGACTAGAAACAGGTACAAAAAGTGAATAAATTATAACATTCACTCAGGTTAAACCGTAAATTTCATTCCATAGTGCGAAAGCATCCCTCAGCTAGGTTCCCCTGGCATGGTGAAATACAAAAACTTAAGACCCCTAATGTGGTCGCAGTCTCCCTGCCTGGCAGATAACTTTTCCCCTATATACTGGAATAAATTATGCAGCTCCAGACCCTCATGTGCACAGCTGGCAGGGTGTGGTGGCAAGGTTAACAGCTCGCTCAGGTTTAGATCCTCTGTCCCTGACAAACAGAGAAGCCACCCTCTCTGCTTCCATGCTGCAGAGAGACAAATTCCTGGGCAGCCCAGCTGCGGGGAGACATCAGTGCCTGCTTGGTGAGTGCCAGTGGGAGCGAGCTGCCCGTGCACACACCCACACGCTGCTCCACTCCACCTACAGCACGGTGGTTTCTGTATTTGTGATGCCAGCGTCCTTTGCCATCGCCGAGAAGACGCCCTGCTTCTTGAGCAGCTCCTCAGGGCTGTCGTATTCCACAATCCTCCCAGCCTGCAGCACCATCACCCTGGCAGCAAGGAATGAGAAGGCCTGAGCACCCATGATCCAAGCCAATAGTGCTGCTGGCGCCAGCACTACAGCCCCACCGACCCTCACTTCTACAGCCACGTTACGTGGTTCACCTCCTCTCAGCATGGAGGTGAGGGCACAGCTGTCCTCCCTGTGCTGGCAGGGTGACACACACATAAGGTGTCAACAACACCTCTGTGGCCTGTTACTGTAAAGAAGGATCCACAAAAATGTTTTTCCCCACAAAGACATAACTACTGCATGGTCATCCTTCCCATTCCTCTGTTATTCTCTCCTAGAACCTCTGTATATTGGGCACCGCATCCACCTCTGCTCCTCTGGCTGCATCCTTGCTTCTGCCGCTGGCCACCCCCCACCCACCCTAACAGCCCATATCCCCCCTTTCCCCTTGCCCCACAGTACCTGTTGCTGTCCATGATGGTGTGAAGGCGGTGGGCAATAGTAAGAACAGTGCAGTCAGCAAACTCACTCCGGATCGTTGTCTGGATTAAATGATCAGTTTCCAGATCTACAGCTGCCGTTGCTTCATCCAGGATGAGGATCTTGGCTTTGCGGAGAACGGCCCGGGCCAGACACACCAGCTGCCTCTGCCCAACACTGGGATGAGGTGGGGAACAGACATTATTAGGCAGACACCAGCAGGGCTTCTGCAAGCCTACTGCCCTGACCCCAGCACCGTGCCTGCCCAGCCCTCCCTGGCATTCCCCAGCTGATCATCTGCCACCCTGAGCACCACATCCCTCAGCATCTTACCCTCTGGGCCACCATGGAACAGTTGGCTCACACTGGCTCCCTGACAGCCCCGACTCCTGGACTGTTTTCTCCCACCTTCACTCCCAGAATCTTCTGTGCCCTCATCCCTGCGCAGCCACTTTGCTGCTGTTCCAGGCTGGTCCCTGGGACCAGGGGAAGGGAGGGGAGCTGGGCACACCTCTGGTCCTCTGCTCACCTCAGGTTCTCCCCTCCCTCGCTCACAAGATGCAGCAGCCCCTCAGGAAGGTCTTGCACGTATGTCTTCAGGTGGGCCAGCTCAAGGGCCTTCCAGACCTCCTCGTCTGTGTACTCGTCAAAGGGGTCCAGGTTCATTCGCAGGGTGCCAGTAAAGAGCACAGGGTCCTGCCAGGGACAGCACCATGTTCAGCCACGCCACAGCCATTCAGCAGGGCTGAATGTAGCTGCTCCAGGCCCCCCATGTTTGGCCTCATCCTGCCTGAAGCTGGGCAGGGGAGGTGGCAACGGCATGCTCACAGGCCCTTGGACTCTCTGCAGCACCCAGGGATGCTCTAAGGGCAACATGTCGCCCAGGGAACAGAGCCTGGGGAGGATGTGCAGCAGCAAGACACGGGAAGGTGGGGTCAGCTCACCTGGGGAATGATGGTGAGGTTCTGGCGCAGGTCGTGGAGGCCGATCGTCGCTATATCCACCTCGTCAATGATGATTGTCCCTCCAGCAGCCTCCAGCACCCGGAAGAGGCAGTTGGTGAGGGAGGATTTTCCAGCCCCGGTCCGGCCCACAACCCCAACCTGTGGAAGCAGCTATTTAGACCAGCTGACGGGGTTGAAGAAAACAGGGCAGATGCTTTCTTCCTTGGTTTGGTGGGCCTTCCTGCCCTGCACCTGCAATCGCCATCTCCTAGACTGTCTCCTTTGGTGTCTGCCCTGCAGCTCAAGTCTTCAGGAGCCATGTTCTGTCACCATCCCTCCCCAGCCCACAGACTGAAGACAAGAGGACAGAAACAACTTTAACACAGTGTCAATCTGGAAAGAGTGTAGTGAGGGCAGAGGCAGAGAGGTCCTCACCTTCTCGGTGCTCCCAATATTGCAGGTGATCCCCTGAAGAACCAGGTCCAGTTCAGGTCGGTAACGAACTTTGTAGTCAACAAACTGGATCTCGCCTTTGCTGGGCCAGCCACAGGGTGGACGTTTTTCTGTTACCCATGGAGCCTGGGGGCACAGGAGCATTAGGGGGGTTGCACCCTGCGATGCTGGCTAGCACCAAGCTGTGCAGCAGGTGTTTGCCTGGACCCTGCTCTCCTCACCTCGTTCTTCACCTTTGTGTACTCATGTACCCGCTCCACAGCCACAATGTTCGTCTCTAGCTCTGAAGATGTCCGCACCAGCCAGTTCAGTGTCTGGGTCACCTGCATGGCAGAGCCAGAGGGTGCAGAGCTCAGTGAGACACAGGAACAACCTCCCCCTGACTCAGCCTGGGCACAAGGATGCCTGGACTGGCCCCTAACTCTCTACTCTCCAGCCACATCCCCCTTGTCCCCTGCCCTTCAAAAGATTTGCTGCAGCACCTCTGACCCACAGTGGGACCGTGATCCTCCCCACGGTAGCAAGTATCCCCCTCACACCAGGATGTGTGCTCCCCTGGATTCATAGCAGCTCATCAGGTGATGAGATACCCCAGCTATTTCCCTTTCCATGGATCAGAGGTGGAGGCAGGGCAGCATCCTGCAGCCAGCCCAGAGCTCCCAAGAACAGCCCTGTCCTGGAATAAGAAAAAGCTTTCATTGACTCACATTGAGGGCAGAAGAGACAGAAAGACCCACGATGCCACCCTCCAAAGCGTCCTTTGAAATCACTGCTAGAAGTGCAGAGAAGAAGACCACCAGGCTCCCAACGAATTCCAGACGGATCGCCAGCCACCTGCACCAGAGGAGGACAGCTGAGGGGTGGTGGGAGAGGCATCTGCCTGCACCCAACACAGGGCCCACCAGTAAGACCAGCACCCCACCAGCATCACTGTGCACCCAGCCCTGAGCCCAGCACTGTACACATGGTACCTGCACCTACACAGCATGTGATTTGTGGCCAGTTCTGCAAGCAGGTTCATTTTATCTGTCAGTCCCTGGGTCTCACATGTAACCTCCTGTGCTGGTGATGCCATGTATCGGAGAAGCCCCAACTATACAATCGTCACACACCCAAAGCATCTACCAGTAACACCAGAACCCACCAAGAGTATCTCATCCCTTGACAGCACACCTCACCCTGCCCAGGGTCTGGACAGTTCATAGAGGGCCACACTCTGGCTTTCAAAATCACCCTAAACTGTCTCCTTCCCACAGATGGTGTCCCTATCCCGAGCGCCCCCAGTTCCTACACAGACTCTCAGGCCTAAGATCAAGAGGAAGGACTGTAGCATCTCAGGGACTGCCCTCAGGACCCAGAAGCCCCTGGGAAGAGGTGCTGCAGGCTGTGCTGTGGCATAAGGAGTAAAACTCACCTATTTGAGACTATCCAGGAGTAAACACTTTTCTGATTTATGTCCATGGTGCTCTCATTTTGCTGCAGAAACCGTTCTTGGTGTCCATAGGCTCGGATCACAGAAAGGCCTGACACTGTCTCACCAAAGTGGGAGTAGATGGGAGACCTGGTGACAGAGTCCAGACGCCGTAGCTGGCGTGATGTGGAGACATAGAAGCGCTGAAATGAGGTACACAGCTTGGTTACCAAGACAAAGCCCAGCAGCAACAAAGATACTGCTCTAAGCAGGGCAGAAGCGTCTATCAAGCCCCAATTACTCACCAGCACAAAATAGTAGAAGATGCTCAAAGGAATGATAATGAGAGCA